TGTTTGATTAGTTAGACTGAATTTGTGATTAACAAAGCCTTTCTTTCACTCTAGTGCAAAGCATAGCACTGACTCAGGCTGTTTACCTATGATACCTTTTCATAACTTAGTTTTAATGTTGCTGTCAACTTACATGTTGTTCATGCTGTGTAATCTGGAATAACAGCTTGAGTAGCTCACATTCTTCCTGGTTTGATGGCCTTCTCAGTGGAAGGGAGAAGGGGCATTCAGCTAACCTAATGTACAAGATGAGGCAAGGAGTTAAACCACAATAATCCATGATCTGTCAGGGATTCATCTTCAAACTTTTTTGATGACTACCTCAAAACAAAAAGTTTTTCCTGTTGTACATCCAGTGTAGCTTGCTTGATTCATTGTCCTGATTTTCTTTTAAAAGAACTGAAATTTCAATGTATTAAGAATAAAATCAGTTGATGTTTGAGTATGTTATTGTAATGATTAACTATTTAAGAAAAGTGCCTAATGGAACAACTAGGTTCTATTAAAATAGGAAACTAAGACAATTTTTCAAGGAATATCCTCTCTGGATATTCACTGTATTTAAAATTATAGCAGCATTTGTTATTTTGCAGTACTCCTTCAGTAGAAATGTCTGTTGTTAGCAGTATGAAGTGCTTAGCTTCGATAACCAAAATGGCAGTTTACACTTCCAGGATTCAGACTGGTGTGTTTGAAATGGAAGTTACCTGTGAAGCTGCTGTTCAGGCTTGTAGAATGCCCTGGGATCGATTTAAACACAAAAGCTAGAGCTGTTTAGAAGAGTTTGCTCTGCCCCTCTACCTGAGGGCATAGCTGGTTGGGCATAGCTGGTTGTGCCCTGAGCACAGGGAGCTCTTTCCGGTTACCTCTCTCCCAGCAAGTACCGAAGCCAGGGCTGTGCAGTGCCAGTGCACTGGTACTTTGTAGAGATCCTTAAGTCTAATTCATTACCATTTCCATACAGTTGTCACTTTTTGGAATTCCAGCTGTGCTTCTGAAAGCTGATATCGTTTTTCTCTTCTTTCTAGTTATGGACATCAGACAGTGCAGGAGAAGAATGTGATGCTGCAGAAGGTGCAGAAAACTAAACTGCACGTGGGGCGTCATTCTCCCTTTCCTTCTCAAGAAACCTTTTTACACGTCTCCATTCCTTATAGCTCCACTTGGATTTCCTATAGCAAAGAAAACCCATCCATGTGTATGGAAATCAATTTATAGTCCTTTCACACTGCAGCTTTGGGAAAACTCCATTCCTTGATTTGTGTTTGTCCTGGCCTTCCTGGTGTGCGGTTACTGCTGTAGAAAAGTATTAATAGCTTCATTTCATATAAACATAAGTAACTTCCAAACACTTATGTAGCGGACTAAAGTGTACCTGGTATTTAAAAACAAATCTGAACCAGTTCCTGCCAGTTGACTGTGTTTTGTATTACAGTAAGATATGAAAATGTAGTTAATTGCAACTAAAGAGTGTTCCACATAGCATTTAATTCTCCACATTCCCTTCTTATTCTGCAGGGTTTCCTTTCCATAATTGACTTTCACATGCTACTGTGTATTCATTTCAGTAGGAATATGGAAGTACTGGGCCAGATCAAGTTGAGCATTTAAAGTTTGGAAAATCATAAATTGAGTTGCTTCCCGTATCATGTAATACAGAAACTTGTGTGTTCGAAAACAGGGGCTTCTCTTAATCTTCAGTTGCTGCTGTTTAAGTTGATATCCCTTCCCAATAAAAGTTCACTTACACTCCTGCCTTTGTAGTTCTGGTATTCACTTTACTATGTATTAGAAGCAGCATGTTACTGCTGGAGTACAGGCAGTGCTTTTTGGCAGACTGAAGTGCATGTCATTTCTTAATACACTGGAATGGGAAAACCAATTGAAGTTCACATGTCCAAGTATAAAATTTAGTACTTTTCCATGCAGGTTTGTGCACATGTGAGAAGGTGTCAAGTTTGTCCAGTGATTGTTAGAGAGTTTGGACCACTATTGTGTGTTGCTAATCATTGATTGTAGTCCCAAAAAAGCCTTGTGAAAATGTTATTGCCCTCTGTAACAGCAAAGTAACATGAAATAAAATTACATTTTATAAACCACCTACTGTTGACTTGTAACAATTCCATGTAATAACTTAAGGGCTAAACTTAAATGTAAGTATATCTTGTGCTGGAAATGTCTCTCTCAAATTTATTGCATACTTTTAAAAAGTCTGCTCTTAATTGAACTCATTTTATGAAAATATCTTAGATAACTTTTCATAGTTAACCTGACATGTGGACTTCTTAGTAACTAAATCTACTAGAGGAAATTGCTTTACCTTAATAATGACCTAAGAAAAGAGAGCCAATTTCGTGATAGTCTTTCATGGCTTGCAAATATCCTCATCTAAATTACACCTTCTTTTTTTTTTGGTAATCTATTGAAATTCTCCTCCCTGTTCTCCTGTTGTGTTTTTTCACTGATGGACATCATTACAGTATTCCAGCTACATGTCTAGTAATGCAGAGGAATTTGTTTGGCTCTAGAATGTTAGTTTGTGTGCTGCCACATCATAATATGCTTTCTGTTGTTCTTAGGCTGCTTTTAGTGTTACTGTGTTCCCCCATTTTTGGAGATTTTTGTAATAATATGTTGCTCTGCTATTTTTTTTTTTTCTCTCCTAGGTCACTTAAGTTTTTTTCCTAAACCTCTACCTCTTAGTTTCCCATTTTGGTGGGTTTTTGAAAATATTTAACTCCTATTAGTGTCCTGGCTACACAGGATATGACATTATGAAAAAGGATATATTACTACTCCTTGCAGGCTTTTGATGGTACATTTTCCACCTTCCATGTTTTTGTTCATTCTTTGAGTGTGCACAATGAGTGTTTCTACAATAAAACTGTTCAGATTCTGTGCTTCAATTGACATGCATTACTTTAAAAAAAATTGTATCAATTCCATTTTCTTCATGCAGTCACTTTGAATTGCTGTCAAAGTATTGTGTGGCAGGACTCTACATAAACTCATATGCTTCTTAATCGGTGTTTTGGTTTCGTAATTTCTTACCCTCCCCTCTGCATTTCTTATTGATCCCTTATTTGTTTCATAAAGGTTTCTAGCTCCTAAATGCTGCCATTCTTTAGTAAAGCTGTTTGGGTACTGAAATGTAGCAGCTTTTTCTGCCCATTTAAGACTTTGCTTTCTTTGCTGTCTCTGGCTGCTGTCTTAGCTTGTGCTACATTGTCAGCTAACGCTGTTCTCTTCTTTCCTTTCTTTTGCACCTTATCAAGGGAGTTGTCAATTTTCCTTACAGGAACAGGATCTGGGCCTTGTATCTAGATTATAGCTTAATTTATTAAATGCTCTTTTTGATGTTTATCAAGCTGGGCAAATTCTAGCTGCCTCTCGTTTGTTGCATGTACGTTTTACAAAAGGAGTCTTGAAACTGCAGTATCAGCATATGAATTTAAATAATAACAAATGCAGCAGCATCTCATAGTGTTACTTCTAGAATTCTGCCAAATATTTGTATTGTTTTGAAGGAGGGAGGTAATGAAACATGTAGGGGAATGGGATGATAGTACCAAAAAAAGAGATGAACTGTAATTCCCTAAATGACTTTGCCTAGCCTTTCCCTCCTGGGTAAACTCCTTTATTAGTACAATACCCAGACAAATTAGGCACATTCATCTGGTATTATGGTTTCCAGCTCCAGGAGGTAATTTGCAACAGGTTTGGATCCTGCCCCACAGCACGTAAGGACCTGCCCCACAGCTTAGAAACACTGCACAGACTAATGCTGCAGATTCTGAACTCTGCATCTTCGCAAGCCAGACACACAACTGACAGTGCGATCTAAGGCACTCAGTCAAACAATAGCATATTGTTAGAGTAAGGATGGGATTTTCATATGTTGAACATGGTTGTAAAAGTAAATCCTGTGGGGCACAGTTACTGCTGCATCACTACAGTAAATTTCACAGTACTGCGTTAATCATCTCAACTCCCTTCTTAGTATTTTCAGACTATTAAATAAAAACAAATTCTCACTTTTCTGCCATATGAGTGATGGTGGTAGAGATGGTAGTTCATGCTAAGCCACTTCTGAGGTATTTCTGTTATAACTCAGCAAAACCTGGGGTTTGTACTTGATTTCTCAGGATCTTTGTTAAAATGAGTAATGTCAGCAAAGAGTTCTCTCCAAGTCTCGTTGCAGTATTCGCTATGATAGCCGGCTACTTGTTACACCAGGAGCCACGTTCATTTATGATGCTGTAAAACAAACAGAGCACTCGCTCCTTCCCACATTTCTTTGTTCTGTGCAGTACAAAGGAATGTGGGGAGACCACACTTAAGTTTGGGTTTGTGGGAGTGTTTTGTTTGGAGTTTCTTGGGGGGCTTTTTCTTTTGTATTTTGGGGGGTGGGGATTGAAGGCTTTTGCCATAAACACACCAAAGAGCAAAAAAAAAAGCCAGCAGAAATGTTGATTTGGGTAACCAGAATTGACACGAGCATACAAAATACACTGTTTAAGTTTAGTGTGCTTTTCAAAGTAATAGCCTAAACACATCAGAATGGGTCTGATGGCACCTAAAATTATCATTCTTAGCAAACCAAGCGGGTAAATGGGGCAATAAATCATCATATACAGGAAAAGGACACACTTGGATTAATTTATTCCTAACATTACTGGAAGACTACAACTTTGAGATCCCAGTTGTACAGCTGAAATCCCAGACTTGTGTAACAAGAACTAACTGCCCTCTTTTGTGCAAGTGTGGCTAGATGACACGGCTGCTGAAAGCTCCAGCAATTACAGCTTGGCCAGCTTTCAGATGAATAAAATGCCAGTGTGGGAAGGGTGAAATGTTAGTACCAGCTTTGGATTACTGCCATGATATTTTCCACTATGAAGACTCCAACTTCCTAGAGGGAATGCTTTGTTGTCTTCTGCCAGAATCCTTAAATCGACAAATATTGACAATTACATCTGATTATAAAAGTGTAGCCTGAAACTATGTCATTAAGTATTTTAAAACATCTGTATATGCAAACTTTTTAAGGGGAGTTTGTCTGTAGTGCAGGATCTGTGAATTGACATCAGTGTAAGAATCCCTGAGCGGAGATTCTGTAAATGCCATTGGAAGTAGCTCATAAGCTCTTTTATTGCGAATTATATTCTCAGTTGTCCAATCTCTTTGCTTAGTTATATCCTCATTCCTGCTGTTGTTGTCATTGTAAAATCCCTCTCCTTTGGAAACAGAGTTCGTAAAACCTGTTTGGGGGGAGAAAGGTGGGGCTTCTTTAGGCCTTGGCTTCAAATCACATATGGCTGCTGATCTTGTTATTGCTGAGCAGATGCTGGGTATTTCCAGTTTGTTGTAAATCTGTTGGAAACAATGAAAGGGGCTCGTTACAGCCCTGTAAGAAGGAGGAAAAGGAGAGGGAGAAGAGATATTTGTTTCTATGCTCTGAATTACTTAAATTGTGCTCCCCAAGGAAATCTGGTGTGTATGACCAGGGAGCAATAGTTTGGTCTCAGCAGTGACAGCAGTAACTACTGAAACTGTACATTATCGCATTCTTCACATAACTCAAGTCTTCCAAAGAGATTTTGTGTGAGTGTTAGAGATACTGAAGCCTCTGTAGTAATGGATGCATGAATTAGCCTGGTGAAATTTAAAAATTACATGCATTTCTATTCAGAGAACAAATTATGCCAACATGAACTGGCAGGCAACAATGCTTTGGGGCTGTTTTATAAAATGGCAGAGTCAAGGTTTTGCCACTCTCACCCTTTCTGAAAAATCCAGACTCATATAAAAAGCTTCTTTTGCTGTGTTAGCATAATTTTGTTGATTTTATTGTATAGGTGACTTAAATTCTATTCATACAGCTAATTTGATCAGAATACATGATCTGAACAAGATCATGCTATATGATTTAAAAGGTTTCAGTAGTTGGTGAACTTCATTCATGACTTAATTCACCTCTTAATGTTAGAACTAATCAGTTTAAATACAGGACCTTGAGAATATAATTCAATTTTCATAGATCAGGTCTTCAAGTAGGATTCACGCAGACACAGAATAGATACCCACGTGGGGGGGCCTTCAAAGTGTAGTTATTTGTTACTACATAGCCATGCCAAAATGCTTTAAATAAATGTTAGTTCTCACTAAGCATTGTGTCAAGTGGAAACTCTCATGCCAGTTTATTGCTGTCAGTGGGAGGAACAGGAGGAAGCTCTCAAGAAGTAGCTGAGCGTCACTGGAGAAGTTTGTGTACGGTGGGATCCCAGCCAGGGGCAACTGAAATGAGTCCATGTTTTTGCTGTTAGATTTTGTCCCTTCCCCCAATTTATATCCCATCTGAGGCAGTTTAAATAATGCTCAGTGGAAGACAGTTTAATAATGCTCAGTGGTTTTTGCTAGGTCCACTCAAATTACTTACCAGCCTAGTTCAGAACTACTCTGCTGTGAAACTTCTGTTCCTACACGTGTTTCTAATGGTCTGGTTACTCTCCTGCTCTGCTCTACTCGAGCTGTCTTTGCCCACCCCTTCCTTTCTACCCTGTCCTTCCAAGGATCTGGAGCAAGGGCTGTGCATGCTAGATGGCCAGTGAAGAGACACTGTTCTCGAAAGCACAAATGGTTCTCATCTCTTGCACCTTGCAAATACTTGCAGGAGGGGATGGTCTCTGCACCCAGGTGCTGCAAGGTGTGTAGGATCCCAGAGGGGAGGAGATACAGTAAGATCATCACCACTGAAAGTGCATTTTAAGGCAGGAGAATAAAAAAAGAGTCCGTAGATCAGAGTAGTATTGAATGCAAACTGTCTCTTATTATTATCTCCAGAGTGGAAAGAACTTAAAGTATCTTGTCACTTAAAAGAGGGATGTGTGGATGCTCAGAAGCATGAAGGTCTGTTCTGTGGTCAGGGCTGATAAAAGATGCTTATAGCTCTGTTTATGTGCTGCTCCATTCTTCTGCAAGCAGCAAGACAGTTACATGCTGTTCTGTACCAAGAGCACATGGTCACCTCTAGTGGAGCTGTGGAATGTGGTTGAAAACCAGCAACTTTGATAAATAACAACAACAAAAAAATTAAATTGTAGAAATAATAATATAAATTGTTCCTATGGAGAATAAAACCTTAAATGTGCCAGCCTAACCAATTGAAGACTTTTGCTTCAAAGTGGGACAACTTATGCTGTGGTTTATGTACTTAAAATAAGTCTGGAGGAGACTCCCTAGATCATCACATCCCACTCATTGCCATCACAGGCACTATACAGTATGTTTATCCAGGCTTGTATTTAGATTCTTTTCCTCGTTTGGTACTGGAAGCCTGTTCCAGGTCCTTGGCTTGCTGATAGCTAGAAATCCAAATAAGAAGCTTTCTCTTAGCTAGTTTATACCCACTTGTTTTCGTGTCAGTTCTGCCTGATGGCTAAAATCCAGTAAGCATTCTGCTGTCAGCAACTCTGCACAGAGGCATCTTAGATTAATAGATCTGAGTGCTCCAGGAACCTTTTGTGGTATGCAGGGATGGTAGGAGTTGCAGAGCTTCAATATATCTGCAACAGTAATTAGTTTTCAGAGGCAGGTCCTAGTGCTGCACATCCTTTTGCTTAAGGTTTTGCTGATTATAGTGAGGATTCAGTTTATTGATGGTCTGCAATAGTTAGATTTGTATTTTGACAATGATTATTTGGTTGGTAAGGGGGGCAATTTGCTTTGGTGTGTGTCTGCAAAGAATTTATATTGCAAAGGGAAAAAACAGGTGAGGAGGAAGGAATTGCTAGTCTTGTTTTGATTGCCTAATAGAGTGATCTTTAACAACATGAGCATTGACATTTGAAAGGAATAAACATTGTATTTTCTTTCCAAATGGCTGCTCTTTATAAAGGTGGCTCACTTGTTAGTTCACTGTCTTAGAATATAGAAAGGAAATTTTGTTTATCTGTCTGTCTTGATTGATGGGTCAATTGCAAATATTATTTTTGTCCAATTAGAACCATAGAGGAGAAGGATGGATCATTTTTGTCAAAGGCACTTCAATTCTTAAAAGGTGCTCAAGCTTTCCAATGTAACATAATTTTTTTTTTCAGCCAGATACAAACATGGAATCAATATCAGCATCCTGGAACTTCATGTTTTATTCCTTGCCCCTATAAATTTCACTTGTTGAGACAACTAGGCAGGCCCTGCTACTAATTAATAAACCACCAGAATGAAACAGTGCAGTGGGAAAGTAACGGGAAAGAAAACAAATTGACTGTTCAGTGGATTTGTAATACTGCAACATGTTTTGTTTTTCTCTAACAATAGGAAATTGCTACACCCACAAAAGCTCTATAATTTAGTGTGTTCTTCTGTTAGTAACCACATCTTTCCTCATCAAGTGGAATCTAGAAGCCTCTTACTGCAACAAAACCAAGGAAAATTGTCACGTCAGAGCAGATCTAATCATTATTGTTATTACAGTAAAGTTTACACACACAAGCATCCAGAAAAGTCATGTCCCTGGGAACTCACACCTGGCATGCTAACCCTTTCATGACTGATGATTTTTGGGCAACCTTTGGTAACTTCAATGGCTACCTAAAACCATGGGGTAAAGCCCATTTAAATTAACACAAGGTCAAGAGTTATTTGTGTAAAGAAATGAAACATAGTGTGCTCTATGTACTTTAAAAGATAGGGAGGATGATAAGAACTTGGCAATGACTTCAGGGTTTATAGTAGAGATGGAATAACTCTGTCATCTCTTTATAGTCTTGCTGGAGACAAAAGGAAAAGCTATGTGGATTAATTTGAAGTCTTGGTAAGGCAACTATAGAGAGAAACCTGTTTTATTCCTGAACTCTGAAGCACCTGAGAGCACTCTGGAGAAGGAAAAAAGGCATCTTTTACCAAGAAAATCTTATGATTCCTCTGGTGAGACTTAAAATGCAACCATATGCACTTGTACATGAGTTTGCAGTGGCTGTGGTCTTTTCACAAAAGATCTCTTCACAGAAGATCTAGAGAAGACTTTACTCATTTTGTCCTGATGAGCTTGTTTCTGAACTGCTGGGTTTCTGCTGAAGTTCTTTAAATGCTCTTGAATCCTGTCTGGTGAGAATGTTGCTGCAGGGTGAAGTTCAAACAAAATTCTCTAGTGCAGGATGATGGTCTAAAAATGTAATTCCAAGAACTGATGTAGAAAAGTATAAGAATAAGGATGAGAATTTGTTGGCCAAAGAAAATGCTATAGCAAGGCTGAGCAGGGTTTGGAGAATCCCTGCCTAAGTTCAGAAAGTGAATCCTTAAACCAAACCACGTGGCCACATCTGGTAAAATGAAGCAAACAGGTCCTTTGAGAAAGGAGACCAACCTCAGGGAAGTATTTGGATTGCCACTTACTAATGCAAACTATTGAATTTACTCAATGAGCACGGTGATGTAGTGGTAAAAGATGGGGGTTATTCATATTTGCAGGCAGTGTGGAAGTTAATGCTAAAGCTGCTGAAAGGGAAGTAGTTTGCCATTTACTTATGTGTGAGTTCTATCACTGTTTTTCCATTTGTGTTTGCTATTTTTTTTTCCTTAGTAACCAATCCTGCTCTGTAGAGTCTGAGTGCTTGGCCATTCAGATGTTCTGCTGGAGGATGGGGATCAAGGCAGCTGGTTTACCTGCAGTCAGCTAGCACTAGTGCTGAGTCTCCTGATCACAGTCTGCTCAGAGCATCTCGAGTATTGGATGCTTCACTACTTACTGAACTAGTTGTTTGATCTTTTTAGCAGGAAACCTATTGTTTAATTTGTAGAACTGAGTTTAGAAACAATTTACTATCCCAAATATTGCACAATTTTTCTATTAAAAGGTTTTTACTGAGAATAAAATTCTGAGATTTGCTTTTTTTCTTTGAAATTTATTTAAAATTGTTAGCTCTGATTCTCTCATTAAGCATTTTTGGCCAAATAAAAAGTCCTCAAAAGCTCTGGTAGTCATAGCCAAATGGGACTCTGAATTGTATTTCCATCTTACAAAAGACGGCTGGAAAGATAACTGTGTGGGAAGTGATCCGCTGCAGGGAACAGTCATGTCCTGGCAGTGAGGATGGACCAGATGACCTAATTTCTCTTTTCCATTAGAGCTGTCTCTCATTCCCCAACTAGTCATGCAAGCACATGACTAACAAGGATAAAAAAATATGGAAAATATATCTCCCAGTGTAACAAATAAATCCTGTTATTCTTGATTCCATCACCTTGAAAGCATTGATTAATTGAATGTCACAGAGTCCTATATCATTATGTTGGTCTTTTAGATGAAACCCTTAAAGCTAACTTTTCATCTGCTCTGCCTGGAATTCAGAACTGCTTCCTCAGCTGCATGAGACATCTGTTTGATGCAGCTGATGAGTGAATACAAGTGAGATATGAGAACCGCTCAAAGAAGCAGTTGCATAGTCTATGGCCTGTTTTAATAATACCCCATACAACTCATCTACAAGATTTTGGAACTGCAGCACTGTGCTGACTACTTCTACATTATCATACCTTGTATACCTATGGCATGGGCTTGCTGTGCCAAGTCACAGCACTGAGGTCTGCAGAGTTGGTTGGACTGGCCTTCAGATGGCTTTTTTGCTGCTGTCTCTAAATCAGCCATGACCTGGCTGTCACGATCCAAAGGAGACTTTTCTTTTTCTTTTGCAAGTAGAATCTTCCCTGACCATTGCCAAATTTTCCTTTCCCATCACTTGGTGCTTCCTGCTGGCTGACTGTTCTCCCTCAGCCAGGTAGTCTGAGGTCTTGCAGTGTCAGATCTTATCTGGAATATGAAGAATTTTGAAATCAGCATTTAGATTATTATCATGGGATAGGTCTTTGAAATACATTTTATTAGCATAACCTCATACTGCAGAGTTTGTACATGAAATCTTTTTCCCTCTTGGTGCATCCAATCTATATCATTCTCCATTAATATTATTCACATCATACCTACAAACAAAACCAAATACCAAAGGCCAAAGAATCCTGACTGTAGCATTAAGATGATAATGGATTACAAGAATGCATTTAGGAATACCTGCAGCTAGGTGGAGAGGTGAGGGTGTACAACATAAAGGACTTTAAAAAGCAGGGTATACCGACCAATAAAACACTATTGCTTTTTTGATGGAAACTACACAGAACCACACTGTTGTCTGAAAGTGGATGTTTACCCTTGAGATCCCTCACAATTCTGATCTCCAATTACTAGATGGATGCTCATCTCGCCAACTGGGATCCAGGAGGAGCTTGCCTCTCAGTTCTATTTTGGAAGAACTGTTACAAATTTTATTTCCTTCTCTGTAAGAGGAAGTGGAGTAGAGTGCTTCTCACTGGAACTTTATGTCATACTTTCTACTATTGCAGAACCAAGGGTTTCTGCAATGCCCAATTCCTCCTGACCTCTTCTTGTGCCTTATTTTTTTAATAGTTGTGGCTTTCAGTCTTTAGGTATTTTGTGTTAGAGGATGTTGAAAGCTGTTTTGTGGCTCAGATTTATTGACTACACATTTTGTGGAGCCTTCTGAAGTTGATGTCTCTTACAGGCCTACCTGCATGTACCAAGCTGGACGAGTCCTGTATTCCATCGGCCCTGCTAATCAGCTCTTTCCTCCTCATGTGGGCCAAAGGAAGTACTCTCTCCACCCTCCCACCTGTGGAGCCAGAGACAAGGACAAGATACAGGCATATCAATTGTTTTCCATGCCCTGCATTCCTCTGCTTAAAGTATTTTCCTGTGCAAAGCTATCACAATTTCTAAAACAGTGAGAAGAAAATCTTCAAGCTCTTAAGAAATAAAAATAAATACACGGGTATCTCATTGGTTAATAAGAAAAATACTACGATAATGAAGAAAGTTTAACATTTAGAAATTAGGAATGTCTGGATACTGTCCTCCCTTTGTGGAAGGAATGACCAAAAATTCAAAACCTTACATTTAACAGCATATGTTCTGTCTGTTCCTACTTGTTTTTTTCCTTGACTTGTGAAGTTTTTCCATGTTTTCCAAATGGAACAGAGAGATTGTTGCTGTCCAGGGAAATTGCCTCAGAGACCTATTTCATTGAGACAAAAGTAACTGGTAGATGTAGTTTGATGTATTTTTCTTTGTTTTTCTTCCTTGACACTCAGCTTTCATATTCACTTGCACCCACCCACTCCCAAAACTCTTATTTGCTATTAGGAATTTGTTTACTTGCTTTCTTAATTTGAAGATCCTTGGCTTAAAAACACTACACATTGCTTTTAAACAATATTGCAGGATGAAATGTATTGGTCTGAGCCTTACAAAGTACAGCAACCCAAAGTTTATGCTGATTAATACTCGCTGCCAGTGGTGTCTGTTTTATTAACTGGGAATTGCTGGGGCACAAAGCTCCAGTGACAGCTTGTTCTCCTGGGCTGTGCCTGCTATGCTGACAACCAGTTCCTGCACTGGATATATGCTCTGGAGGATCCCACTGAGGTCACAGCTATAAGGTCAATTTAGTCCAACACAAATCCATACTGCCTTTGAAACCTTCTGTCTCACCTCTGCTTGTCCCTAGTGTCTCCCTTAGTCTGGCATCAGGCAGCCAGAATGCAAAATCCCATACAAGGATGGACACCTTTCCCTTATCCCTCCCTCAGCCACATGCTGATCCCCACACTGCACAGTTCCACGGGAAGAGAAATGCCTGGGAGGAGAGGCCAGGAGGACTCCTCCTCCGCATGGCAATGCAAATTATGATGGATGAAGTGGCTATCTAACAAAAACCCAAGTATGAGGACTTTTTAACATCTCTATTTGTCAGACTCAGGGCAGGTTTATTTGTCTGGTTTGCTCTGGATTCTGGTTCTGGTCTTACAATGTTAATTGTTGCCTGAAAGTGAGTGATACCAGATTCTAAGTCATTAGGGCTGCATGATCAAGTCTCTTTAGGAGTAATACTTTCCAACAGTGAAAGCTCCCAAGGCTCAAAAGTAAATTGCACAAAAAGAAGAGTTATATCTAAAAGACAAACATTACAAAAGAACCGTGGTATCCTTAGCAGAACTGTCAATCCAAATGACACCCAAGCAGAGCACAGGGATGGTAACCAAACATGTCTTACTACAATTTTCCAGTATTCTGTATGATCCAATTTCTTTCTACGTTCACATCTGGGCTTAAGGGTGAAAAAAAATTTTAAGCATCAAAAGACAAACCTTGCATTCGGTTCTCCCATGATTTATTGTGTGGGAGGCTGTTTCTGTAGTGTTCCAGAATGAAATGTCCTGGTACCAATGCCTGTAATCAAGGAAACAGGAGAATATGGGATTGATGCAAGAAACAAATGATCTGTTAAGTATCCATAGAAAATTAGTTCACCAAAGAAGTTTAACTGATTAAAATGAAACAATCTAGAGCAAGACTCCTATTAAGTTCAGTTGGGAAATCAAGAGGATTTGGAATTATCTCTTTTACAACCTAAAAATGTGCCACATTCATGAAAAGTAAAAGGTGGGAAAATAGTTTCAGTTGTGCTGGTGTTTGTATATGAAATATATATTTTATTTATAAGCATTATATTGTATATTTTTACATGTATTCATGTGTATATATGTTTTTATTTATGAGATGTTACCATGTCTGCTTGCAGAAGACTGACTCATTTCATGTTGGAAATTAGTTATAATCAGATACTAACAACTTTTGGTTACCAAGGACCTAGGCTGACCCCATGCCACTAACTACACATCATTAGCTGTAACTTGCAGTCCTCTGAGCCACTCCTGCCTTTGCATAACTCAGATTTATGGACTCAAACAGAGATAGAAAAATGTTGTTAAATTTTTGCATGAAATACATTGCTTTAATTACAGCATCTTAGGTGAAGACTATTTAGAAACCACATTTGACACAGTAATTACTGGTCATGTTGTCTGGAAAAACAGAAATAGAAGTATAAATCCTTAAAGACAGAGATAAACTATTTTCTGGGTGTTCTTGTAGACTTAGATAAGAATAGCCAATTAAATACCTACTCTTTAAGTAAATTTAGCTTTTCAAATAGCTCATTTGAATATGGTTCAGGTTATTATAGGAAATACTAGAGGTCTGCACAGTAAAACCAGCAATATAAAATACTAATAAAGTCATACAATATAAAAAACTGCTCAGGTTTACTTACTACCATATATGCAGTATCTTTGCATTAATAGGAGCAAGAAAAGTAATACAAAGATCTTACAAAAACATCTCCTAATACTTAATTTGTTTTTCTACATTGCATAAATTGCACACAGACATTTATAAAGTACAGCTGCTGGTTTATGGCTTCATACTTTACTGATTATGATTTTTTTATAGCTTATCATCACACCTTCATTGCTCTTATCATTAGACAATGTTGTCAGCCACTAACAAGGCAAATATTTTAATAAAAGCAGCTTAGTTTCAATAATTCTTTCGAGTCATAAAATCATTAAGGCTGGAAGGACCTATGGAAATCACCTGGTTCAACTCTCTTCCCAGACCAGGTTCCAGCTTCAAAGTGTCTTTCAAACACACATAATGCTAAATTGTCCTTAATACTCTACGTAGCATTAAAAATATTAATGTAGTCAGTTGTTCTCACTAATCCACTAACAAATATGTTAGTGTTATCCTGTGTTAAAAACTCAGCCACTATAATTATTTCATCTTACATAAACAGCAGTGTTGCTGTTTTTTTCTCTCAAGACCTTAATTTCTTTTATTTTTATACTATCTTATTTTTATTTTACACTCCTTACTGCAAAAGCCATTAAGTACAAATATGTTTATATGGTCAGTGGTGATGTTTTTATTCTTGGTGAACTACCATTGCATTCTGAAGGCTTGGTGAATTATGCTTTAGACTACTGCTCAGATATTCAGAAAAGCCAATAATCTGTATTCTTAGGGGAAAAAGACTTGGATTTGTATCAGCTGTGGTAAATGAGAAAACATGTCCAACAGCAACACACTAAAATTCAACTGGCTTAATTTTGTTCTAATAACTTGAGTGTTGTAAAAGGTCCTGAAAAGTGATGTTTTCTTTATTCTTAGTATAATTGCATCAAAAATAGTAGCAATGCATCCTTGCTTACACTGGCTTCAGCAATGTTTCTATCAAAAAAAGAATGGACTTTTGACCAAAAGGATGGTTTAATTTGCAGGGCACAGTCTGCTTATCTTACTAATTCCTACTGGTAAATGACTCTTACAGCAAGGCCTCTGCAAATACAGCTGGAAGAGGCTGGGTACACCTGATCAGTCTGTACTCCTGCCAAAGGTACCCAAGCAGGGTGACCACTGGGAGGTCTCATGGTGCAAACAATGCTGTCTTGAGATGAACAGTGTAAGTGGAGACCCATGGTATTCCATCACAAGTGTTACCACTTCTGTCTGACTTTTCTCAATGACCTCTCTTGGGAGAGACAATCCAGAAATCCAACAACTGTAGACCTTGATTCTGTATAACTATTTACACCTTTCACCCTTTTGGTTACCTGTATTTGTGAACACAAATAAATGAAAAACACCCAACCAACCAGACAACAAAATCAACTATGAGTGTACCTGAGAGTTCAGTGCAATTTAATTACAAATACATACAAGGACAAACCATACTTGCATCATTTAATTAGTCAAACTGGAACAGTTTTTGTGAAGCTCAAAGGGAAAAGGAAAGGAGAAGAAGGTATCAGGGGGACAAGTGCAAGAGTAAAAGCTCTGATGGCACCAGAGAGTTTGAGGGTTTTTTTCTCTGAAACTTTTTCTTGGTCACCTTATTGACCTCCTCATCTTTCATGGCCCCTTTAATGGCCTGTTTCAGGGTCCTTCTTTGCCTTGAGCCCACAGGGTCAGCTTTTCTCAGCATCCCAGAGAAAGCAAGAATGGTTACCCACTGCTGATATCTGACAGCAGAGTAAGTTTGATTCAGCTGAATATATAAAGATATATTTTTTATATATAGTATATAAAAATATATATATATAATCAGGTATACAAGTAGCATAAGATCCGAATCAAGCCTTCTGTATGTGTCTTAGAGATATGAACTGTGTCCTTTGAACCACATTCTTGATGATATTTGTCACACATTTCCTCAGCAACTTCAAAAGAGTTTGAGTCCTTTGATTACAGTGCTGTTTACCTACTATCTTAACTAACAGGCATTTGCTCAGAACAGACATTCTCTCAAAACACTCCCTTTATTATCTTTTCCTTCATGTGCAAAAATACGTTAATTTACAAAGAGCCATATTAACATCCCTGGTTAAATATAAAGCAGTGCTCTTTTGAGAACAAAAATATTAGAAGAGTGATAACCAAGTATGAGTTTCTGTCCTAGATTTGCAGTAAACTCTGTGCCTCTGCTTTCTGCTTTAGAGACCTTAAAAACTTCCTGCCTACCAGTTCTTCACCAATAACAGTATGCAGTCACATGTAAGAAACATGAGCTTGGTCTCACTTTTCATAAAGAAAATTACCTTGTCCCTAAGATCGTCACTTAAAAATGGGTCTAGCTCTGTGCTTGTTTTCAAGTTATTTCCAAGTCCTTTTAAATGGGTGCTTTAAGTCAGCAGGTATATGATAACTATGAGTACTTGGCACTTGCATTGCATATTTAATGTATATCAATATCCATGGTCTACCACTGGAAAACTGATTCACACACAGAAAGGTGAAGAGACTTAGTCGGAGGTCTCCCCACTTCTGTAGAGGTACCTTGAGTTAGTTTCAGCTGAAGAAGTATTTTGGCCAGTGGTTTCCTTACTGTGTCCCGTGAGCCAATGCTATGGGCTCTGCAGAACCACATGGAAACACATTTTTAAGCAGAATTTTAATAACATGTTACAATAAGTTTTCAGAGTTGACTACACTTCAGGGGTCCAAACTGTTTGGAGACTACTGACCTAGTTTGACATTTGTGATTGCAGAATCACCAAAGTGCTCCCAGGTGCCTTATGATGGCACAGCTGTGTTACCAGGGCAATCTAAGCTACAGCTCCATGAATAACACAGCTCAGTGGCATACTTGCTGATCCACAGTGCAGGGTTCTCAAGGCTTTTTACTACCACTACCCAGAGTATGCTTCCAACCAAACTGCTCCAGCTAAGCCAGGAGAAGGATGAGAGCCTGCACAGTTGTAGAAGGGAACCTGCAGCACTGTCCTGCAGCAGAAGTGTCCCTTGGAAGTGCTCTTGCCTCTGCGTTCCTGCTGTGTGTCCTGTATCAGATCGAGCTGGTGAGCAAATCAAAAGCGGTGTAACTGGGCAGGGCTGGGCAATGGCAACTGTGTGAGTCACATTTTAAGCACACAGAACTGAAAGCCCTGCAGTGGAGAGAAATGAGGCACCATGAAAATGAGAGATCAAAGGCATATAAATACTAAGACATATAAAAATAAAGGTTTTGAAATCTCAGTTGATGGGCAGGTGACTCTTGAATCACACATAGGTCTTAAGCAGTTCAAAGGCAGCTCCTGCATCAAAGTTCCGCCATGAGGATGGCCAGTCTGGGTACCCTGAACCCCAACTGTTGGATGAAATGAGCCAGCTGGTGCTCCTGAGCCTGACATCAGTAGGCCGTCTGCAAGTCCAAGACACATACAGGCCTATTTTGCAGTGGTGAACTGCTGTTCCAAATGCAGGCTGCTCACAGAGGTTTCCTTTTCTTTTTGGAAATAGGTGGCATGTGCAAATTCTGGTCACATGAAGATTTTGACATAGTGACCCAAGTCATTTGATGAACTTCTTTTTTTGCAAAGAAATTACTTAGAAATAAATCCTCTTGGTCTCACTCACACCTCAGCTATTCTATCTGAGAAAGAACTGTGAGAAGCTGGATCCAGGTTTTCTTGCTTAGAGTGTGAAATATTTGCTAGCCTGGAGCAGTAATGCTTCACACTTATGTTGCTCAGACACCACTGAGTTGGCAGGGTCAAAAATAAGTATGGAGAATGAAACCTCTGAACAGGTTGAGAGCTTGTTACATTGAGGGCTGCACCAGCTCAGCAAAAAGCTGCCTGCATTCTGCCGGGTCTGAGGTGAATGTGTTCATTCAGCCAGTGGTGCAATTTAGAGGTAACTCTGTCCTGTCCTTCTGCTCCAAAGCCTCTAGGTCACTACAGGAGATCCTCTTGTCCTTTTCTTTTCACTCTGTTGAGGCTTTAAGAAGGTGCCCAGAGGAGCATTCAGACAGACATGCAACTTCTCATTGTACAGGAGGAGAATCTCTGCACCATCCCTTCAAAGCAGGTTTTTTTTAAGAGCATCTG